CTAGTAATTAAAGATAAGAAATTTGAGAACTTGAAACATCCAGGGCTCATCTTGCGAGGGAAGTGTTTTACAAGTTTTGATCCTACGAGCCAAAAATTATCGTCTCAGACGAGTGGATGAGTGGATTTGTTTTTGCTCTGCGTACAAATTTCAATTGTGCATTTCCGCATTTGTTCTTGTATTCAGATTTCCTCTATCTTCACCAAAAATCCTGGAAAACAACTGTACACAGTGAGTCTTCTTAGTTTCAGGTAAATGTCAAACTAAGACTGCTCAATGCATGCATATATTAGACTTTTTTTTAAATAAATGTCTTAAGGCCGGGCCAATCGCACGCATTATTTCAATTTATAATCTTGCAACGTTGTTGCGTGCAATGTGTTGAACACTTTTTGCCATCCTGGTGCAACAGGATGAAACATTTTGCAATATGTTAGATGGTGTTGGATCAAGTTCGAAAATGGTCAGATTTTTGTTGTAACATTTTTTGATATTGCAAGATGTTGCACGCATTTGAGAGGCTGTTTCACAACATCTCTCATTACAACAAAACCAAAGTAAAGCGCGCGCTCTGATTGGTCAATTCAGCATCCCCCATTTGCCCATGGGTGTACGCTGCTGACGTGAGCAAATGCAAAGACCAGTTTTCCGCGCGCTCGTATTTTCCGGTCATGTAAGATTTGTTAAATAAAAGGAAACTCTCGCTACAATGTATCAATGTTATGTTATAAAACAAATGGTAAACGCCACAGTGTACACTACTGAGTTATGGATGCACTTGGGAGATTTGCTAAGCACTCAAGAAGCTAGAGTCGCTCTCGGCTATCGCCTCGCGTGACTCTTACGCTTCTTTCGTGCTTAGCAACCTTCCGCGTGGATTCATAACTCAATATCGTACGCTGTGGTGTTTACCATTTGTTAAACATTATCCAGCAATTGGTTACGTTACGTTGACGACACATTCACCGCCGTTCGACACGACGAAATTGACACATTCCACCACCACCTTAACGAACAAAACACTGACATACAGTTTACCAGAGAAGTCGAAGAAAATGGCAAACTTCCTTTTCTAGACTGCCTGGTAAGCCACGGCGACAACTCATTACGGACGACAGTTTACAGGAAACCGACACACACCGCCAGATTACTAGACGAGTCACCCTACAACCCTACATCACACAAAGCCACAACTGTCAGAACTCTAACACGACGTGCACAACTAGTATGCGACTCGACAGACAGCTCATCCGACGAGAACAAATACCTTCACCGTGTTTTTACGAAGAACAACTACAACAACGACTTCATCCGACGAAACACTCACCGACCCACTACCACTACCGAAACAAACGACACCGCAACCCCTACGACTACAGCAACCATACCGTACATAAAAGGCATGTCTGAAAACATCTCGCGCATCTTACTACCCTTCAATATCCGCGTCGCCCACAAACCCATCACCACACTACGTCAGTTACTAACCAACGTTAAAGACAAAGACGAACCGAGGAACAGACAGGGAACGATTTATAAGATCAATTGTTCCGACTGCCAAGCCTCCTACATCGGTGAGACTGGCAGAAACCTCACAACAAGACTGACTGAACACAGACGGGCGACGAGGAAAGGTGATGTCAGCAATCACATTGCTGAACACCATCGACTTACCAACCACAACATTGACTGGGACTCTGCGCAATGCCTAACCTACAGCACTGACTATTTTCAACGACTGACTCTGGAAAGCTGGTTTACTAACTTAGAACAGACTCCCCTAAACAGATGTCAACAACTACCCGCCCCATACAAACGACTCATTCACGACATAAACATCACAAACGACCGAAAAAGAACAACCTAGCTTTACCGACAGACCGAAACAGACCAATCACGAACGACTTACGTCACTTGAGTCTTACAGCCAATAACATCACGGCAAAACCAACCGATCATTTCACACGAACTGGAATAAGAACATTCTACTGACAACAATCACTCACTTGACTCTGATGATGACTTCCGCACAGGTTGTCGAAACGTCAGTCACTGCCACCGACAACAGTCCTTCTCAGGACTACACTCACCCGGACGATCAGACTACACCTTCACATGTTACCCCCGGGTTCAAACCATTTACTGCAATATTAATATTGTTTTTTTCAATT